AATGGTAGATGGGCACCATCTAGTTTTTCTGGTATCCACTGAACTAATTGTTTCCATCCATTATTCACTTTTCTTTCCTCTTTTTTGTTTTGTTAAGTGCAATTGTGTCAGTTCTGACTCAAAGCAACTCTATATAGGGTTTCTAAGGAGTGGCTGCTGAGTTTGAACCGCTGACCTTGAGGTTCAAATAGACCTTGGGGTTCAGTGCTTATCCTACAGCACCACACCAGGACTCCTAAAAGTGGAATTTGGCGCTGTAGGATAAGCGCTGGACTGAAAGGTTGGTTTGAACCACAAGACTGGCAATTCAAACTCACCAGCTGCTCCTCGAAAACCCTATGCGGGGTCATTATGAGTTAGATTCAACTCAATGGTCCTTAACAACAACAGCATGGTATTTCTATCTCGAACCTTTTGAGGAACCACTATTTTCCTAGGTTGCTACACCATGTTATATTCCCACCAGCAATGAACTAAGTTCCTATTTCTCTGCACCTTTCGCAGCACTTGTTTTTCATTTTCTTGATTTAAGCTAACATACTGGGTGTGAAGTGTTATCTCACTGTGGTTTTGACTTGCATTTCCTTAATGATCAGTGATACTCAATATTTTTTCACTTGCTTATTGGCCATTTGTACAAGATTCTTTGGAGCAGTATCTATGCAAATCCTTTGTTCAGCTTTTGAGTTGCTTTTCTGTTTGTTGTTGTGTTGTTGTTGTTGGCTGGCTGGCTGTGTGCCTTGGAGTCGGTTCTGACTACTAGGGATCCTGTACAGGGTTTCTGAGGCTGTAAATCTCTACGGGAGCAGAAAGCCTCATCTTTCTCCTGCGGAGCAGCTGGTAGTTTCGAACTGCTGACCTTGTGGTTCGTGGCCCAATTCATAACCACTACGCTACCAGAGCTTGTTGTTGTTTTTAAGTGCTGTTGAGTCAGTTCCGACCCATAGCGACCCTGTACAGGGTTTCCGAGGCTGTAAATCTTTACGGGAGCAGAAAGCCTCATCTTTCTCCTACGGAGCAGCTGGTAGTTTCGAACTGCTGATCTTAAGGTTCACAGCCCGATTCGTAAGACCCTCTATATGACAGAATGAAACACTGTCTAGTCTTGTGCCATCCTCACAACTGTTGTTGTATTTAAGCCCATTTTTGCAGGCATTGTGTCAATCCGTCTCTTTGGGAGTCTTTTAACACTTTCTAAATATTGAATGTAACTATTCTTTACATATTCCTGTATTAAATCCTTATCAGATATATGATTTCCAATTATTTTCTTCCATTCTATAGGTTTTTTTCTTAGACCTTTCTTGATTACGCCTTTTGATACACAAAAGTTTATCATTACTTTGAAGTCCAATTCATCTGTTTTTGTTGTTGTTTATGCTTCTGTTGACACACCTAAGAATCCATTGCTAAATCAGAGATCATAAAGATTTACTCCTATGTTTTCTTCTAAGAGTTTTACCTATGTTTAGGTTGTTGGTTCATTTTGACTTAATTTTTTAAAATAGGGGGTGATGCATTCAGTTGTCCACCACTATTTAGTGAAGAGACTATTGGCACTATAGGATAAGCACTGGACCATCAAAGTCACTTCTCAAATCCACCAGCCGCTCCTTGGAAACCCTATATAGTATCGCTATCACTGGAGAAGGATATCATGTTTACTAAGGTGGAGGATGAGATAAAGAGGAAGACCCCCAACGAGATGGATTGGCCAAGTGTCAGCATCGATGGACTCAAGCGTGGCAGCAGTAGTGAGGTTGGCCCAGGATTGGGCAGTGTTTCGCTCATCTGTGCATAGTACCGACTCAATGGCACCTAACAACAACAACAACAACGAGTTGGAACTGTTGAAGATCAATTGATCACAGAAATTTGGTGTGTTTATGTTTTGGAAAAAACATTACATTTGTGTTTGATATTAATTTCTCCAGGCATTAGAACGTAAGGTCAAAAGGAAAGATTTGCACTTTTAAAGGAAATAATGTTATTTTTTTCTTTGCCATTTGTTGTTTCACTTCCCATCAGCACCATGCAGAGGATACAGATGGAATACTTAACTTGCACTCCCGGCTGAACAACCTGTATAGAAATCTTTGTTTTTGGACTTTGGTAACATTTCCCTTTCAGGAAACTGACATTTAGGATGTTCCAGGATCAATAGCAGCAAAGTGATGGGGTATGCTGTCTAGTCCGGTTCAGACTCATAGCAATGTATACAGGATTTCTGAACCTATAAATCTTTATGGAAACCTCATCTTTCTCCTGCAGAGTTCCTGGTGCATTTAAACTGCTCACCTTGTAGTTAGCAGTCTGCCATACAACACACTATGCTACCAGGGTTCCTTAGGAGCAAGGTTAGATACTGATTTTAGGCTTGCAGCAAATGTTTATAAAGACTCTATGAGAAGACACTGCCTAATCAGCCTGGCCTCTGGAGGAGAGTTCTGACACCTACGTGCTCTCTTAAGTCCACCCACATGCTTTAGTTTGTCCTTAACGCCTCTTCAGTTTACTTCCTCTTTCTCCAATCTCTAGCCAGTGCTTAGGATCTGAGCAATCAAGGTGATGGCTGAGGTTGGCAGTTAGAGTAAGAAGGCAAGGATATTTTGATCTAGGATATAAGCCCAACATCAGATCAGATCAGGGTGGAGGGTGTTTAAGAAGGAATACATTGAATAGATTATGTAAAGCTTCCAAATGGCAGGAAACATCCAGCTACAAGGTATAGACCCCTTAGGATGCAGTAAAGGAGTAGGTAAGATCGATCTCTGCCACCAAACCTATGTCTCATCATCCCAAATATATTTCCATTGGCTAACAAAAACCCAGCATCAGAGAGATCTGTTTTTCTGTCTCTAGCTGCTGCTGCTTTCCTAAAATAAAAATGTTCTGTGTAAAGCACTGGAAGCAGTCTGATTTTGTTTTTATAGGCTGTCAGTTTATGTATTTATAATATTGCTATGGCTGGTCTTACAGAGGATTGGGGAAGGAGTACGGTTGTTTAATGTAGAGAGGATTGGGGAAGGAGTATGGGGTTTAGGTTGTATATTTTGGCAGGTCAGGGAGTTTTCACCAGCAGTTCAAAGTTAGGGCCCACCCATGGGTGCCTTGGAAGACAGGCCTAGCAATCCGTTTCTGAAAAGTCACAGCTTTGAAAACTCTATAGAGCTGTTCTACTCAGCACAGGAGGGAGCACCAGAACCAGAAAGAATTCTAACAAGAGAGTGTTGAGTGATTAAGGTAAAGCTTGCCAAATTTAATGTGCATGCGACTTACCTGGGGACATTATTAAAATGTAGATTCCCATTCAGTAGACTGGGGTGGGGGTCTATAGACAGCACTTTGAATAGCTCTGCCCCAAGGATACCCCAAGGAAATCTTGGGGTGTGGCCGCTGTGGGTTAATGCTCTGAACAGCAAGGTCGGTTTGCACTCAAAGTTGGTGGTTCACACTCACCAGTTGTTCCTTGGAAACCCAATACAGGGTGGCTATGGTTGGGAACCCACTCAACTGCACTTAACAACAACAGGAGTTTCAAGTAGCACTGGTGGCACAGTGGGCTAAGTGTTGGCAGTTCAAACCCCTTGGCTGCTTTTCGAGAAAGACGAGTTGGTCTGTTCTTTTGAAGCGTTACATCTTGGAAACACCAAAGAACAGTTCTACCTACCCGGTTGCTATGAGCAGGAATTCACTAGAAGGCAGAACATTTGGTTTGGCTGACCAGACTGGAACCATCCTATAGCCAATTCCGTTGGAATTCCTGTATCAGGAGACTGGGCAAGAAACATGACTCCTCGTATCCTGTTTTTTTAATGCTTAATTGTTGAATTTCTTTTTATTCTGTGGGTTCCTGAGTTAAAAATATTTTTCATATGTTCATTAGCTACTTTATTTCTTCTTTGATGAATGTTGCCTGCTTTTTTCTGTTGGTATCGATCTTTTTCTTATTGATTTGTAGGTGCTATTTATGAGAGTAAGTAAAAAAATATTGCTAATAAAGTTCTAGTTTATACATGCACAAGTTTATTTCAAACCAAACAAGTCTTTGAAATCAGTGCTATCTATACACACATTTGCTCCGTAATACACTTGTCTTAATCTCGTTATAGTATATCTTTTTTTTTTCTTTTTTCTTACGTCTCATTCCCATGGTTACGATCCCATCCATGCAATACTTCCCCGTGCCCCCCAGGTCTTCAGCACACACTCGCTCTCCCTCTCTGGATCTGGATCGAAAGTCTCCAGCTGCTCCATTGCTCCACGTCATCATCTCTGGCTCCATTTCAGGCATCACTGCTTCTCTGGGTAGGGTCCCGCTCTCTGTTCTTCTCCCTTGATGGTCCTAGGGACCTCCGCTCCTAGACTGAAAAGTTAATCACTCCCTTCCTTGCTATAAAACGTCTACCTTTACATTTCCAACCCTCACAATCAGTCCTGATAACAATTATTCAATATTGTATCACAAGAGACCCGTCTGCATTTCATTGCATCAACCCCACCTAGACAGATTGAATACTACTCACTGGAGATTCTACCTTCTTCCAGGCCCTCTGGATCTAGTTTCCTTCTTGAAAGCTTGTAAGCCAGTCACTTCTTGCCTTCCTGGTATCCTTTTTAGCTTTACTATTTTGAGTTCTGAGATTCTGAAAAAGGGGTTTTTTAAGCAGAGTCATAGACCTCTGTGAGAATGATGAAACCGCTGTATCCTCTCACCTTCAAAATTTACAAACACTCAAGACTTGCAAATGACGTTTAGGTCCTGCGGGTCCTCAGCTCAGGGCCAGGATCCCTGCCTGCAGGCGATTCTAGCTCTACAGAACCTGGCTGCTTTGCAGGTCCCCATCTGGTGCGAGCTCCGCGTCAGGATGGGAGAGGGGGCGTGTCGGGGGCGGGGGCGGGGCGTGTCGGGGGGCGGACCTGAGGCGGGCGCTAACCGCGCCCCTCGGCCGTGCAAGAGGCCGAGCTTGCTGCATTGCAGCCGCCGCGGCGCCGCTGGGCTCCTCACTCCCAACAATGGCGGCTCCGAGCCCTAGCGGCGGCGGCGGCGGCTCCGGGGGCGGCAGCAGCACCGGCATCCCGGGCTCTGTAGGGTCCCCGGCGCCGGGCCACCCGGCCGTCAGCAGCATGCAGGGTAAGGAACGCGGCCTCGCTGGGACACCGGTCCCCTCGTGCGGCCATCGGCGACACCGCGGCCTGCCGAAGCGGCCGCCTCCGGCCCCAGCTGAGGAAACAGCGGAGCCTCCCGCGCCTCGCTCCCGCCCTCCCTCCGGGCTTCCCTCCCCGCTGCCGGCCACCTCCGGGTCGCTCGGGATCCGGGCCCCGGCCCACGCAGGCCGCGGCCTGCGCCCGACTCCTCGGCCCTGCCGGGCTTCCCGCCGGCCCGCTGGGCCCACCTGGCCCGGGAACCACCCCCGCGGCCGCCCCTCTTGCTGCTGGGGCTTACCTGGCCTCGCTTGGCCCTGTTTCCGGGAACCTGCGGGTCCGGGGCGGCGGCGGCGGGAGCGTCCGGGCCTCGTTCCCGGTCCGTGCAGGTAGGCGGCGGCGGCGGCGTTGGTGTCCCCTGCCGGGCGCCCGGCGCGGCTCTCCGCCTCCGCAGTGGGGCCCCGGCCAGGGCCATCTTGGTTCTTCTCTCCGGGCAGAGCTGGAGCCCGGGACCACTCTCCTTCCTGCGGGACCTACGTTTGCAAACTTTTGCAGGGTTTGTGCGCTGGGGAGGGGCTGGGGGCTGCTCAGGACTGTGCCACCTGTAAGGTAGACAGCCTGCGCTGGGAGAGTCCGTGTTTTTCCTGCTAGGGATTAACGTGCTCGCATTGCAAGCAGGAAAAAAAAAAAAAAAAGTGAATTCAGTGTCAATAGAGAGATACAGGAAATAGAAAGGCCAGAGTCACACTGGTCCTGTATAGTGCCTGGACATCTGAAGTCGCTCTCCTAATTAATGGGTTTCTCTGCTGGGAATGCTTATTAGCCCTTGACAGGGGGTGCGGTGGAAATACACTCACCGGGCCCTCGCCCATTAGGGACCATTTCCTTAAGCTTCCTGGGAAATTTGGAATAGGGATGCTATTTTTAAAATAGTGTCAGAAATCTCTCCACGACAACTTGAGCAAACTGTTTATGTTGAATTAATTATTGAGTAGAATCAGCCCGGATACCCTTGGTAGTTCGTGTGACTATGGTTACTCACTAGTTAAACTTATTAATGGTCTGTTTACCCATCCATGTCTTCGTTGGTTTTAACAGACATTTATTGCATATTCCGGGTTCGGAGCGCAGAGACGGGGGTTTATTCATCTTTATTATATCCTTGCCACCTTCCCCATGAAATAATTTTAAATACGTAGCGGCAGAGATAGGTAGATGTGAAAGTTCAGAGGATACTTCTGTGCAGGCCATTAAAAGAATTAAAATTGAATTGGTTATTGGATGCACAGCACAGTCTATAGCTGAAGTCCAAGATGGGTTTCTAAATCTCACAGCTGTACATACAGACTAAATGATGGGGGAAAATGAAATGGCAAAATGACATTTGATGTGTCGTGTAGCCGACAAAGGTGATTTATAGAAATCATGCAAAAATTTTTTTTTGAGGGGGCCCAGGAACAATGGGAGGTGACAGTTTAATAAAGCTGTATACATTCATAAATTTATATTTTGCTCAGAACATACTTAGTGGGCATCCGACTAGTTGCCAGGCATGGGACTATGGTTGCTGAGTATTCAGAGGAGAGATAATGCAGTTTCTAACCCTGATGGAGCTGAACTTCCTGTGAGAATGGGGGAGGGGAGACATTCTGTAGGTAAATAAGAAAAACTGCAATTTGAGAACTTGTTATAAAGGTAACACACTGGGTTTTGTGATAGAAAGTAATAAGGAGGATGGCAAATCTGCTCCAAGTAGATGATCAGGAAAAGCCTGTGTGCAAAACCAACCCTCATCTACCAGAACATTTTCAACAGAAAACAACAGCACATGTGAAGGCTCCAAGCAGGAAAGAGCTTGGTGTGTTTTAGGAACTCAAAGAAAATGGTTGTTGGTGGGAGTTGTTCTGATGCTCATCACTCTCCTTCCTATTCCTTGTCTTGGTATGAGACCCAGTAAACTAAACTTTCTAATAAGCAGAACCCATTTTAAAAGGGAAGAGGTAAGATTTTTCTTTGAGTTGTCTCTGAATTAGTTTGATTTTATCAGGACCATGTCTAGCCCTGATTGATTCAGTTATATCTTGTTCTTGAACCCCTTGATTACTCAGAATGAAAAGAAGTATTTGCAGTTCTCAAGATGTTGTTGGGCACAAACCAGGTTATAAAACTTGAGCTTCAGCAGCAGTTCAAGGTCTCTGTTTTCTGCTTGTTTTGTTATGTTACCCCCAAACCTCTGGTACTCCATCTACTAAAGACCTTTTTGGGCTTTAGATCAGACGTCACCCAGATTGGTACTTAGAAGCTAGGGTTGCTATACTGCTTCTACTACCTGTTCTCTCTCCGTATTTACATGCCACCGCAGAAAACCACCTTCCTGGAGGTTGTTGATACCCCAGCTTTCTCAAACAGCACGATTCAGACTATATTTCATTTGATTGACATTGGAGTTCTTCCTAGGTGACAGGCATTTGCTAGGAATTGGATAAAAGGAGCTCTGGTAGCAGTGTAGTATTTACGAGTCAGGCTGCTTACCTCAAGGTCAGCAGTTTGAAACTACCAGTGGTTGTGCAGAAGAAAGACATCCTTTGTTCCCGTAAAGATTTACAGCCTCAAAAACCCTATGCAGGAACTGACTCCATGACATACTACCACCACCATCACTACCAGGCATTGGATAAACCTGTGCACTTTTTCATAGCTTGATGTTTGGGGCACGACTAGTTCAGATTGTGAAACATTGTTTTCTTAATATCCTAATGCCTAAGAGTCAGAATTCTGGAGGCCTAGATTTTAATCCCCTGGATAAGCACTAGGTTGCGAACTACAAGGTTGGTGGTTCTGCAGTTCAAACCCACCAGTGGCTCTTCAGAAACTTTATACAGGGCTGCTATGAGCCGGAACCAATTTGATGGCACTTAACAACAACAACCACAATTGAAAAAGTGATTTTTGTAATCTTGTGCAAATTACTTAACTTTAAGCCTCAATTTCTCAATTGGAAAGAGGGGTGACTCTTACCTCATAGTTGGTACGAGAATGGATGGAAAGTATGGGGTCTTGCAGTGAATGTTGTTCAGTGCTGTCGAGACAGTTCTGACACACAGCGACTCTATATAGGGTTTCTGATGAGTGGCTGGTGGGTTTGAACTGCCAACCTTGTGGTTCGAAGTCCATTGCTGATCCCTGCAGCACCACACCAGTTAGCTGTCAGCAATACTATTTTTGTAATGGTCTCATTGATGGTGTCTTTCTTTATTAGGTACATGAGTCCCTGTACGCTCATCTTCATTATTACAAGGCCCTGCATGCACTCTAGCAGGTACATTTTACCATAGTTTCATTATTAAGCATTTCCTTTACACTATTCCAGACGAATATTCTAATTTAGACTCCAAATCTCCCTTTTTCAGATCTGAGGACTCTCAAAATGAGTTGCAGTTTAAATGCTGTGAAAGAGAGATCTAGTAATAGTTGCTATACCGTTTTGGGGGCTGCAGTGGGAATTGTGGTGTGTATTGGCACTGTAGGATAAGCAAGGTTGGCAGTTCAAACCCACCAGCTACTCATCGGAAACCTTATACAGGATTACTGTGAGTCAGAACCAACTCGACTATACCTAACAACAACATTGCTGTATAACAGACATCAACAAACCCAGTTTCAGTTACATTTTTGTATTAACTGGTTCCTCTTCTAATCTGGCCACAGTTTGTGTAATCATTCGTCCCTCTGCCCCTGATTTATCGGGGAATAACGTCTTATTTTTTCATTGCTTATACATTTGAGTATTTCATTCATCCTGACTCATTTTTTTCCTCTTAACTATTCATAAACACACCCAACATTTATAAGTTGAGTGCTTTTTTAATTCTTCAGTTCATTGGTGACTAAAACTATCAAAATGTAGATCAGTTTGCCAAGTTAGATAAATTTAAAAAAATATTTTGACATTAGGATGAGTTTACATTTATGGGAGAAAAAAATCCTCAGTTGAGCATTTCTCATATTTTCCTCTTATTGTATCTTATCTCAGTGTGAATGCATGCTGAAATTTGTCTAAAATGAGCGTTAGTTAACTCTGTATTTGGAAATTTTTTCTTTTTAAGCCAATTCTCACTCCATTTCTTTTACCTAATTTGGGAAACTGGATTGGTTTGGACCCATAGCTTTTCTTATTTTTAGGGATCTGTTTATTATAATAGACTTCATTATACAGAATCCCAGGTCAGTCTTCTCAGCCTCCATCTTTAGGAGACAGAGATGGCCCTAATTATGTATGACGTTGTTGTTAAGTGCCATAGAGTTGGTTCTGATTCATAATGACCCTTTATAGGGTTTCTGAGGAGCAGCTGGTGAGTTTGAACAGCGGCCCCTGAGGTTAGCAGTCCAGTGCTGATCCTACAGCGCCATACCAGGGCTCCTAAGAAACCTCAGTCCAGACTTTAGAACAGGGGTGGGGAACTTTTCTCTGCCATGGGCCATTTGGAGATTTATAGCTTCATTCGCAGACCATACGAAATTATCAGCTTAAATATGAGCCTGCTATATTTGGTCAAACTTTTAATTAATTTGCCTTTAATGTGATAACTGGAACTGCAGTTGCTTCGGTAGGGTCAGAACAAATGATTTCACAGGCTGGATGTTTGCCTCCTCCCCCCTTTAGAAATAATTAGAAAATGAGCAATAACATAAGCTCTCTTATGTTTTCACCTATTGGTTCCTTTCCTAATCTGAAGCCCTTGACTACTCTTTAAAGGTAGGTAGATGTTGTTGTGAAGTGCTGTTGAGTCTATTCCGACCCATAGCGACCCTGTATAGGGTTTCCAAGGAGCAGCTGGTGAGCTTGAACCGCCGGCCTTGCAGTTCAGATGACTTTGCCGTCTGGCGCATTAACCCACAGCACCACAGGAACTGGCATTAAATTAAGCAAATTGCCCTAATTGTTGTTAGGTACCATCGAGTCATTACTGACTCATAGCGCCCTTATGC